AACAGAATTTAACTTGTTAGTTATGGACAAAATTAAAGTCTAACTGTCTAGATGTAGACAATCATTTTATGAATTTGGTAATAAACTGGTAAGGATGCAAGCAAATGCCCTTAAAACTGCCTGGCCTTGTGCCCCAGATTATCTCCAAGGATAACCTAAAGGTTACCAAATTTGCCAAGATAGCACAGTGGTTTGGGGAATTTTACACATCACTATATAGTTTTACCCGTTCCGGCTATGAGTACCCATTTATATGCTATTCGGCAGTTTCTGGTTGCTTCAGGCCTTCTCAATTTATCAAGAGAGGATGGAATATTCAAAATGTACAAACTCATTTCTCGTTTAGATGAGCTTCGTCCCATGTCAGATATCCTAGAAGCGATCCTGGCAGATTTTTGCCAGTTTTAACTCAGTTTGGTCCATTACAGAAACTTATTATGGAAGATCTCAATACCTGGGATTGTGAAGTTTTTACATTGTTCGGATGCAATCGCATCCTAAAGAGGAATGTTCTTCCCAGACCTGTATTTACTGCAGACATTACCAATAGAACTTCACACAGTCTTCCTGGAAATGCATTCTATATTCCTATTTTGTATGGGTGAAACCTGCTCAAACCTGCACAAACCTGCTCAAATAAAATGTACAATCCTTTGGGGAAATGGTACTTGTCATAAGGATACTTTCAGAGTGTGCTAGCGTAAAGCAATTGAAATGTGCTTTTTCAACCCTATCAACTATTCCCTTCAAACATTTTTAGTAAAGCTGATTAAAATAAAAATTACATCTCTCAATGAATTCCATTTTTGGCTTCAGTATCAGATGCTGTATTGTCATTTAACCAGCTATGGAACACAACCATTGGCATATGTCAATTTTTTCGCCTACGTATATAAAAGTAATTTCTTATATCTGAATTTTGATTAAGAAAAATAAAAGGGCAGAGGCTACCACTACTAACTATTATGTGCTGGGATAAATTCTGTTATTTCAAGGATTCAGGAACAATAAGGTCAGAATGACTGGGGGATAGGGGAAGAGAACAAGGTAATGTTATTTCCACTGCTGTGATATCCTTGGCATGTTGTTTTTAATTCCCTGCCTGGCAGCAATATTTATTTGTGCTCTTTGGGCACGGTAAAAAAAACATTGCTATGGTAAAATTTTCCATGTTTTAAAGTCTGTTGCAATAAGTTTATTTTGCATGTCAGAAATGAACTTTTCTTTATGAGAATATCCTCAAGTCAGACACTGACATATCACAGAGCACAGAGGGATAAAGGTTTCCACATACTATGTGTAGGGAAGGTTAGGCTGATGGTTTGTTTTTATACCCACCTGAATCGGATAACCCCAGGAAACTTTGTTGCATAAAAAAAGCGGTTAGTGTTTAGGAGAAAGTAATATGAAGTATAGGGATTACAGCTTGTTCCTGCAAGGTAAATTTAGCCGCAGGGCACAGTTGCACCCCCTTCCTGCCAATATACTACATGGAAACAAGGTGTAGTATGAAAATCTTGGAAGACATGAGATGCTGTCCCGTGCTTTATACTGCAGATACTGGGGAATAGTGTCAGTATTATCTATGAAGGATTTTTGAACTGATGCTAATGTTGTGTGTACAAGTAATACAGACGTCATTTTTCATATATTTGTACTTCCGCAGCAGAACATTACCATTTTGCTTGGTGAGTTGGCTGCTTGTTATCTTCATATCTCGCTCATGTTTTCTTAGCTCAGTTTAATATTCACATCCAAACCAAATGACGTAGTAAGTGCATCCATACTTTATTATCCAGACAAATGCACAAATCCTTCTTTTATTGTTGAATTCAGCTCTTTTTAAGGGAATCAGTTTGGTTATATCATAAGAGCATGCTTGTATAACGTGCCGATTTTGTTTTTCCTTCACAATTGTAAACACAAGGATACTACTTTGGATTCTCAATACAGAAAATAAGCCCTTACTGAGTCTTGAAATTCTGCTTACATTTATGTACTTAAAGTGACAATAAACCTTCCCTTTTTTCTCCCCAATTCTAATGCTGCTGTATGGACTTACATTAAGTGTTGCCTCTTGTTCCGATCAACATCATCTTCATTCCAGTACTTTTCAGCAGTCCCTCTGCTGTCTCTTCCTGTCCCACTGTGTGTGTCCGGCATGTACGCTCATGGCTGCATGCATTGACTCACTGTGTCTCCTCGTTTCCTCACCAGTGATCTCCACTGTGCATGCGCCTGCACTGATCCTCCTGCACGGCTGCTCAATAAGCTACAGTTCTACAGCTGGGAGAGAGCGGCGGAGACAGAGGTAAGTATTTACCTATTTGGTATCTTTTTTATTTTTGTTAAATGTTTTTGCATATATCTACTGCTTGCTAGCAGTAGATCTATGTAAAGAAAATGTGACTTTAATATACTTTAAGGAAAGGTGTCATTGAGTGTGGTGAAAAGTCACGTTGCAAAGAATAACCAATCACAGACCAGGAAAATTAAAAGAAAAACAGAAATGTTGCTTGCAGATGACTGAGGTCAGCAGAGCTTCCCAACATTTACTAAACTATGTAAACAATTACCTTGCATATTGAACAAGCTCTACCTGTTCAGTAACTTCACAAGGGGGGTACCCGCACCAGGTGACAGTCATTTTGGTGTCACCCCCTCTGAGAGGTCAGGCACTTGGTCATGGATATACCTTATCCCACTGGATAAACGTTCCTTCATCTCTTTTCTGGCATTCATCACCAATAATGGCTGCGGGCAGTGAAGTGCAATTGTCGAGAAAGCGAGGGGAAGCTGTGTACAATTAATGAGATGACTTATGACATGGCTAGTGATAATATTGTATATCAGATTGTATGTGAGAACCTTTATAAAATTCAAGGAAGTGTACAATACGGTATTCCTGACATATTTCTGTAGAATGAGACATATATAGTGTTACACTGCAAATAATTCCAGCAAGTCTATTCTCCATTTCATGTGCAATATTTGGCCGCTACATATTTGTATTTATGAACTTTTTACAGTATCGGAGAACACTATACATTATAGACAACATACTAGTGGACTATGGTTTGAACCATACGTGTAGCATTTCTCAGGATGGAAACAAATTACCTTTGAGAAACTATGGCAGCCCCTAAATAAACTATTTTAAACAAAATAAACACCATGCAGTATAGTCATGAAGCTTTAATGAGACCCTGGTAGGTCACATGGCAACCTTCCAGCAGATCTGAATGCATTTCATAGCCTACCATAATATCTTTTTCATTTGCTTGTAACATCCTCATCAGGGTTTGCTTAGACACAGTAATTTCTTTAACGTATGCAGAAATGTGTCTTTACCTAAACGTCTCTTCTAAAATGTGTTTTTATGCCATAGTTAACTTATGTTGTGAAATATTAATACTTGTAGAACACCTAAGGCTATATTCACAAAATCATTAACACATACCCTTATTTACCTTTTTTATGACTGCAAAAAGGTTATTGCATAGATCATATGAATTTACTAAATGCTTATTAAATTACTGCATTCATACATAATTGCACTTTTTTGATACATGGAATCACAGCATTTTTCCTCCTCTGTCCCTTGTAACAATGCTTGCTCCATCTGCCACAGGACACTACTGTGTGATAATCTTGCACCGTTAACCTCTACTTCAGCAAATGTTACTGCTCGGCTCTCATGCTGAAACACTGATTTTAATGCTTAGTCACTGACCGGGAACATATATAGAGATAAGACATTTTCTTATACTTTATTTGCTACATGCTTGATCCAGGCCTGTGAGCTAGAACCATTGATGCTGGACACTGTCGGGTAACTGGCATTTTCAGAAGAATGACCTCCTCCCACGCTCGCCTCCAGGACTTCTCCAGAGTGTCCCGCAATCCTCTGGAACTCCTTACCCCAATCTGTCAGCCTATCTCCTCCGCTGCCCACCTTTAGGCAATCCTTAAAAACCCATCACTTCAGGGAAGCCTATCTCATCTCGACATAACTGCCTTTTACTTCTCCAATAACTCAATCTAAACAATTATTACCTTTTGTATCACTTGCCCCTCCTACTAGATTGTAAGCTCTCACGAGCAGGGTCCTCCTAACCCTATTGTACTGAAACTATATTGTATTGTAAATTGTAGCCCTGTAGGACTTTAGGCCCACCTAATAGGCGGTAAAAGGATTACATAAGATAAACTTAAGGCTTTGTTTATTGACAGCGTTAACCTTCTCCGACCTAGACAGGAAACATGTCAGCCTCTATAGGGGCCTTACACTAAGCTGACATTGCTATTTTAAATGGGAGAAAATACAAGTACATAACCGCAGACAACAATAAGGCTGCACTATTATAACACCTTAAAGTGCACCTGTGACCAGACTACATGCATTAAAATATTTACAAACCTATACAGAAGTAAAAGAGCTTTAAAACAAGCCCTCACTGACCTCTCTCTGCTTGTACAGTGAAGTAATTAATTCTCAAAGATCACAACAAAGACTCTAAAGTCAGGTTTAATTCAGTATCTATTTAAAAAAACACCTGCTGGTTGGTTAAATCAGCAGGCTGGGGAGAAAATCTATTGTTTAGCAATATATTGTCTGTGAAATCAGTAGCTGTCTTCAAAGTTATGAGAATGATTCTTTAGTGCCAAGATGGAAATCTCCAGTCTTTGTAAACGGTTAACAAAAAAGTCATTCCCTGGCCAGATCAGGGTGTTTAGCTCAGAGAGCAGATGAACATCCAATCTTTCATTGTCTCATAATGAAAGATCTGCCTCTATATCTGAGGGGGTAATTCTGACTTATCAGCCATCTGACTACCTCAGTATGTGTCCAGATTCTCATCCATTAGCTACACAGTAGTTCAAATTATCACCTGGATCTCAAATACATTAGTATTTTAATAGTATATATCTGGAATTTTACAGATCTCATAAGGAAGATTTACAAATTCACTGAGTTTTTTTTTTTTTTTTTTCATCAGATTAAAACGGCCAAAAATGTTAAAGAACTGCAACTTATTCAGCTTCGCAGCCTTCAGTACTTGGAGAGATACATCTATCTGATTTTATTTAATGCCTACCTGCATTTGGAGAAAAAGGACACATGGCAACGACCCTTCAGCAAGTGGATGTATGAGGTGTGTAGAACTACTTGTTCCTGTTCTCTGTGTATACTATAACTTTATACCTCTCGTATCAGATGTTTTAAGCATCTTGTACTGGAAGATGCATTGTTCTAATGCAATATGTCATTCAAAAAATGGATTATTGGTAAGGCATGCAAGAATTCTGTAATCAAATGGAAAATTGTCACAGGTAGCACACACAAGTTCAGCACTGCACCATCGGGGCCATTCTCTGCAATTCAATTTACATTTCCTAGTTGTAAGTGAAACATTTTGAAGAGCTCTCCAGCTAACAGTTAGGGGTCTATTCACTAAGCTGCCGTAGGCAGCCGAGTGAATGACCGACCTGAAGTGAAGTGAGCCGTGGTTTCCATTTTTGTTTTGTTAGAGTATCTGTCATGTTTTTCTTGCTATATCCCCTGTGGTCAGTTTTCCCCTCATCTTCTGAGGTGCAAACCTTTCCCCTATCAATCCACAATTTTAAGAAATAATTTGGCTGGACCTGGGATTTAAGCTGGGCAATTATTTAGCAACTATTGGAACCATAAACAGCCAGACAGGACGTATCGATGGCATTCTCTACATTTGCAGTGCAGGTTCCCTTTAATTAGTGGCACTGAGAAATTGCTAAACATCTGAAGATTAATTTATTTTTCACTCATTTCTATCTTCAATGTTCTTTTCTTGCTTGTAATGTGGACATGTGCCCCTCATATGCTCCAGCACACATGGAACTGGCAGGGTGCTGCAAACTGCTTGGAAATAAGAGGTCAATGTATGAAGACTGAAAAATTATTGTTTCATTCTTTACAACATTTTCTCTTATGTTGCAGTTGAATTTCTTTCTTACATTTGATAGAAGTTGCAACGTCAGAGTGAAAAAAGCTGGAAAGTAGGCAGATTTACCATTTTCACCTTTTGTTTGATTTTGCACAAGACTGGGGAGGAGGAAGGGGAGGCATATTATTCATTCCTTCTATACATTGATCAAATTATCTGTAAAACAGAATTTACTGCCATAGATTATCTTTAGTGATTATATGATGCAAAAATGAGTGTAGGCAATCTCCACACCAGCTTCATAAATAAGTAAACCTCCCGGAAGCGATATTTCCCGTGAAAAAAACAAAATTGCCATTTCGGCTTTGATAAATAGGTCCTAAGAGCATAGCTGGATTTGTTAAAATAAATATCAGATCTCCTGCAGTGCTCTAACTGAACAGCACAGCACAGATGTTTTCATTTCTAGAGAAAACGTAACTACTTCTAGGAATGGATCGTAACAGGGAGAATTCACTTATATCATGAATGTCAGCTCTTACCAAATTTTGGGAGAATGCCCAGTCTTCAGTGTTATTTTATATATGAACCTAAAAAGTAATTTATAGCAGTACTGACACAAAAACAGGTTGACTATTTATGCAGTTACCTTTTTAATTGCTATCACCCAGAAGGTTTCAGAAAAAAACGATATCTACTGTACTCTTTGGAACTGCAAATCTTGAAGTTTTAAGTATATCTAAACACTTTTTAAATTTTTTTTGGGATGCAGTAGTTGAGGGTTAAAACTGCTTTCAATTTTTTTTGCCAACTGTGTCTCATTAAGGAGATTGCCCTTCACATCCTGTTCTGTAGACTAGAACTGTAGAACAAGAGAGTCAGAGGTTATCTTTCCAGTGTGAGAACAATCCCCTCTTAAGGTGACCATACACTTTACAACCATTGCAAGACCTTAGTCATTTTTTAATTATTTGGTTGTAAAATAATTAAAATTTTTTTTCGATCTGCCCATCTTGGATTTCCCGCGATTCTCATACGAGAATCGTGCAGTGTATGGGCACCTTTTAGATGGATATCACAGGAACACGTGCCCCCATTGGAAGATTACCCCTTTTCCTCTCCATTCCAATTGTAGTGGCACAATTTTGGATTTACCCTCACTTTTATTCCTGGTGATATGTGTGATCCGAACAATTAGAGAGAGTGAATCTCCCAAACGGGGACACAGACAGCAGAGGCATCCCCAGGCAGGGTGTCACACGCCAGGATGCCATCACGCACGCGTGTACTGTCATTATGCGTGTGCGTGACACAGGGGTGTATCTACTGCAAGGCAAACTAGGCATTTGCCTAGGGCGGCACTTTCCAGGGGGGCGCCAAAAAATGCTGTCCTCCAAACCAGTTACGTAAGAGAGAAAAAAATGATTTATACAATATTCATAAATTACTGCCAGCACTCCTGGACCTTGTGCTTCTTTGAATGGGAGACCAACTTGTCCACTAATGCTGCCACCATATATGGCAGCTGCAGCTCTTTCCTCTTACTGGTCACTGTGCTGGGAAATGTATTGGTGTGTGTGACTTTCGTCCGGTTGCATTGGCAGTTCGTGCGCCGGACCTCCCTGGGAAACCAGCACCCAAATCTCTTACTTCAGGCAGCGGAGGAGCTTCTGCAGGACCCCAGGGCTGAGATCCAGATGGTCATCATGCTCATCGGCACCCCCATGGTGGTGAGTCCGGGGAAGTGCAGCCTATAAGCTCTGTGCAGGGTTATATCTCTAGAGCGGGGCAAGATACACAGCCCAGCGGCCAAGGGAGAAGATGGGTAACTGCAGAAATAGACAGCCCAGCATATTAAGGCAGATGATCGGTGTTGCAGCTGCAGAACTAGAGACTAGCACAGCATGGCAGGGCAGGAGAGAATGGTTATTGTAGCTGCAGAAATAGAGAAGGTGGCTATTGCAAAGGTAGAACTAGAGCGTCCCGCTACGTTGATAGCACAATGTACCCTGCGACTGATAGGTTATTCAAAATGTAATAAACAGAAAGGGGTGGGACTAATTTAGATTAGGGATGGGAGGGCGCTCGGGTTTAGTCTTGCCTAGGGCAGCACAAAACCAAAATACACCACTGCCGTGACATCGCGCATGTGCCTAATGACGTTACGCTCAGTTAACATCTCTCTGTGACCGACAACGGCAGAGAGAAGAGGGGACGTTTATCTGGCAGGATAAGGTATGCCGCCGTGTCCCTTCCTCTCTTCTACAGCTGTCGGACACTCTCTCCATGACCATGTGCCTGACTTTTCAGTGGGGGGGAGTCATTTTAGTGCCCCCCCCCTCTGATGGTGTCACCCATTGTGGGCTGCACCCCTCTTGTGATGCCACTGACAGACAACAATATAAACCTGACAGTGGTTCTAACCCCTCACCATTCTATCCAAATCTGAAAAAGTTCTGCCTTTTAGTTATAATTTAAGACCCTAAATACTTTATCCCACTATTCAGCAGATAAAATACACAAACGTTTTACAGATGTGATATTCTAATACAATTTACAAGTGAACTGAGGCTAATTATAGTTTGAGTTCTATTCGATTTAGTGTTGTGTGTATGTGACTAAAGCAGTCAAATTCCTCACTGGAAAAGCACACTTGCCAACAGCCACACTACAGAATAATTCTGTCTCCTGCTATTTACAGATCATTTATTCTTCTTTGGTGCTGTTAATCTGGCAAAGGTTATTTTCAGCACAGGACTATTAAGTTTTAGTACCAATACTTTTGGTAACTTTTGGACCAGTAGTTAAAGTGACCCTGTTGGCGATCAACAAATTAAAATAATCTACCTGTAAAGAGAAATGTAAATATCTCCCTGTAAATAATAATACATATCTCTCCTCCTGAATGCCTCTCCATTGATGAGGAATTTCCCCTGAAGTCTGCTAGGAAACTGGCACTTCCAGGTGTGTCGCTCTCGTGTGTCTCCTGAAATACTTACCAATTCCCGTCAACCTCTTCATCACCATTGTGTCCTGTAGTGGCCTGGAGGCTGGTAATGGATTGCAGGGGACACGGAGGGTATATACAATTGTGCTGAAAAGTTTGCAAACCCTGGCAGAAATCGTGACTTTTTGGCATGGATATTGAAAATAATGACTGATCATGCCGAAAAACTGTCTTTTATTTAAGGATAGTGAGCATATGAAGTCAGTGAGCATATGAAGCAATTTATCATCACATAGTTTGGCTCCTTTTAAAATCATAATAACAGAAATGGCGCGTTAAAATGATTGCATACCCTGGAATGTTTGGCCTTGTTACAGACACACAAAGGGGACACTCACAGGTTAAAATGGCAATTAAAGGTTTATTTCCCACATCTGTGGCTTTTTAAATTGCAATTAGTGTCTGTGTATAAATAGTTAATGAGTTCGTTAGCTCTCACATGGATGCACTGAGCAGGCTAGATACTGAGCTGTGGGGAGCAGAAAAGAAGTCAAAAGACCTGCGTAACAAGGTAACTGGGGGCTAAAGGGGGCAATAACAATATTAAGAACTGAGGGTATGCAGACTTTTGAAAAGGGGCAATTTCCTTTTTTTATTTGTCGCCATGTTTTGTTTTATAATTGTGCCATTCTGTTATGACCTACAGTTGAATATGAATCCCATAGGAAATAAGAAATGTGTTTTGCCTGCTCACGCATGTTTTCTTATTAATGGTACATATATCACCAATTCTCCAAGGGTATGCAAACTTTAGAGCACAACTGTATTTCTAGCAGACTTTGAAGGACCAGTCCTCTTATCCAATTCTGGACCAGAGCATTTTTTTTATTTTTTGCACACGCATATTAAAATCTGAAGTTTAAGGCAATATGTAACGTGTGGTGCAATTGTAGTTTTACAATGTAGGTGCATCCAAGGTGCATTTGTGTGCTCAGAGGAATGGAGGGTTTTCAATATATTTGTTTTTTTTTAAACTTTGTCACTAATTTTTTTAAACTTTTTTTTTTTTTTTTACTCTTACTCTTCACTATATTGCTACCACATAGGAGGCTAACAAGACCAATATGTGGTAGCACAGATGAAGTGATAGGCCCTCTTAATGGAGACATCAGTGGTCTATTAGAGCCCTAATGTCACTTATGGACACCGCTGAAGATTCTATTTACCACAGCAGTTGGAGAAATGACAGCCTGAAACTGGAAGTGACAAAATCATTGCTGCCCTT